ACGAAAATGTCGAAGCTCGCAAGTGCCGCGTCGCCGTCTAACGCATAAGAATTGGTACGGAACCCATAGAAATGTAAAAAAAAATTATACTTCTGTTAAAATCTCTATAAAATATCTGTAATTTGATGTGCATATGTCTAATGATCATTTTTAACCGCCAAATGGCATTTTTTTTTACTTTTTTCATTAGATCTCCGGAAACCGCTAGACCTGCCTTCATGAAAATTGATCAATTCTACATCTTGTCAATACAAGTAAAATGTTTTTTGAATTATTCAAATCGGACGCTCCGTTCTCTTAAAAACTGAGTTACCGTTTTGGCACTTTTTGCCCCGTATCTTCGGACGGCTCGGACGTGCCTTCGCCAAAAACTAATCAGCACGTCTCCTTATCAATACGAATCGAATGCTTTTGAATTATTCAAATCGGTTGATCCGTGTTCGCGAAATCGTCGACGAAAATTTGTATCCGCACATACATACACACACGTACATACATACATACATACATACTACATACATACACACACACACACACACACACACACACACATACATCCATTTTTTCTAAGGTATGCCAAAATATTCAGAAACCTCTGAAACGTACAGATATATAAAATTTTCATTTTCGATTTTTTTGCGATTACTATAACTTACCCTACGGGAAGTTAATTATTATCAATTTAAATCTTACATACATAATCACTTTGAAGTTTATCTGTAACTTGCTGAATTAAAAGTAGCAGAAGAAAGTAGCAGCACAATTAAAAAATGACTTTAAAATTTATTTTCACTGTATTCACCAGGCGATTTATGTACTAATTGTAAGAATATTTACTGTAGACATCTGCCCGACTGGAAATTGAAGTATGGCGCGAATCAGGGCTGCCCTAAATTAAGTAGGGTCCCAGTGCGGCAACCGCACTTGGCCCCTATGCGATATGTAACGCCTTGCCGGATAAGGTCTGTGTTGGGCAAACTGTTCCGGGCCCTAATCGAAAATATGAAATGGCCCCTATAAAAATATCGAACTTGGCCCTTAACTTAAAATAAGCATATGGCCCTGAAAATAATATGTGATATGGCCCTGAAAAATATATTTGATATGGCCCTGAAAAATATATTTGATGCGGCCCTGAAAATAATATGTGATATGGTCCTGAAAAATATATTTGATATGGCCCTGAAAAATATATTTGATGTGGCCCTGAAAATAATAATTGGCATGGCCCATAAAAAAATGCATATGCTAAATTTTTTTTATTAATTCTTTTGATAACAATATTTTAATATATAATAACAATAAATAACAAATGTTAATTAGGTTTTATTGGTCCGCCTATGATCTCTCCCATTCTCCCAATCACGGGAATAATTTATAACCTTCCGAGGGCTTGGTTAAATGCTTGCTCTTTAATAGGGCTCAACTGCGGATTTTTAATTGATTCAGTTGTCATTATACCTGTAACAAAATGTATAGCCATAAATAATAAAATCATCTATGTGTACTGTGTGAATAATACCTACCATATAAACACTTCACAAGTTCACTGTCTTTAAGACATTAAACACTAAAAAAATAAAAATAAAAATTAAAATTAAATTATTCGATAATAATAAAAAGAAAAACACACGATAAATTGTTAACAAGAATACACTTGCCTGAAGCATTGCGCGACTTATTGCCTAAATTTATGTTACATTCCGACAACTGCTGATCGACGTTATTCTGATTTACAAAACGCCCTTTATTCAAGCGGTATTGTTTTTTCAGAACATCTTGCCTTCTGTTTATGGTTTCTTCATTGTCCGTAGAAAACGCATATTCCTTTTGTTGCAATATTTTTAACTTTTCCAAGGCAATTTAATATGTATCTGAAATTACAACTCAAATCAATAGATATATATTATATATATATATATATATATGTGTGTGTGTGTGTGTGTGTGTTTGTGTGTATATAACAAAATACACAATACGTAGTTGATCAATAATACTTACTCGCGTAATCTCGTACATCCACCTCATGAAGACTCCAATTATCCGATGCTGGTGCCGCCCGACGCTTCACCAAATCTTGAAGAAGAAGTAAATTTTCTCCCGATAGCTCATAATTATTTAAAAATGGGCATTCGAATTTATCTTATCCTTCATTATATATCAACCAATCCACCGGCACTACATCGATACTCTATTTTCACTTGTATCATTGGGAAATAAAACAACACAATACACTACTTTTCCACTGATTATTAAACGATAATTACACGACGTTCTTTTAAAACAAATAAAAATATATCGTAATAATATTTCGTAATTTTCGCACTTCCTATTAAACACATAACGACCGCTTAGCTTGGCATTCAGTAATGAACTAAAAAACTAACAATGGTCCTCTTTGATAGAAGATGAAGTTCTTACATACATGTATTGGTGCCTCGATCGTATTCCATATTATCAATCAATGGTTTATATAATATCATATGCAACGGCGCGATGATGATCTCTTTCTCTGCATTCAATATACTATATATATATATATATATATATATATATATATATATATAAATTTTTATGGGTCGTCGAATAAAAAATTAATGTACTATATTATTTTTTTACGTAGAACTTCAATATTAGATCTATTTGAACTAATATCAGTATTTCTGTCCACATAAAAAAATTGTTCGAAATAATATTTGACAAATGTTTGTTGCCTATTCGTATTATATGAGCAATCATAAATGTATATTGTTCACAATCTGCTGTACGCCGGCATCTATAAAGTTAACGTGTGACATAGCGCCGATCTTTCTTACTCTTGCCCACTCTATTTCATTCGATGTTAATGTTTAGCAGTATTTAGAATATGTTAAAATGAAATGTAAAACTTTTGATATTTATTATTGAAGTAAAATTATGTAAATTTATTTCAGTTTTTCTACTTGTCCTATGTCAAGGTCCTATGCTTTAGATAGACCAAGTACGCATAAGAAAAAGGTCATCGATCCTGTTTCTGATTGTTACACTTTCGATACTCGATATGAGTTAATATTCATGTATAGTCTAGACTCTAAAATGAATAAATACGATATATGTGTGCTGGACGAATTTTCTAAGAAGGTCCTATATCTTATGCAAACAGTTCACGTACGCAGAATTGATCTTATTATTTCTACTTATTACATTCGATATGATTATTTATATATATATATATATATATATATATATATATATATGTATATATAATTTCAGTGAGGAAACTACTACTATTATTAATAAATTGATCATAACTTATAGTACATTAATTTTTTTATTCGACGACCCATAAAAATTTATATATATATATATATATATGTCTCACATGACAAAATCGAAAAATGTATATACCTAATAACTTCTAATCACAAAAGTATTATTTTTATTAAAAAATTATTTTATTGTATTCGCTATAATTTTAATATCTTTATATAATCGATTCAATAATTATTTTATTGTTAATAAATTTTATGTAATTTCCTATCTTTCATGATTTTAT